CGAACGATTGAATATTTGGCTAAACGACAGCGAGGGAGACAAAACCATAGAGAAAAATGCCATCGATGACTCGAGATTCTGGAGGCGACCCATTAGAAGATGGTCGGACCCCGAGCTTACATCCCATGGAGAACCGAGTATACTTACAAATGCCGATGTTGTCATGCTGCAGAGTGAAATCCGAGTCCCTACGTTGGTACACTTGTTTGCTCCATACCCAGGTGAGAGGATTACATGTCCTCCACCCAACTGCGTCGGTGTGTTCGCCGAGAGTAAGATCAGGATTGCGATTCCCTTTGCCGCGCATAATTACTGAATACTTGCGGGACTGGGAGTTTCCGATATGCCAGATCGCTCCAAATTCATGGAAGCGAATCATCGGATTGCTAGTACTCTTTGCCGAAAAGAAGTGGGACCTACCATCGGCAAAGGATATGAGGAGTATGTTTACATTTCGGAAGAGCCCAGATAGACAAGTATCAGATCCACTTCTCACTTTTTCTATTGTCGGTAAACCCCAACCAAGAGTCAAAGTTGGCGAGTTAATAATGGAAGTCCCCGACACATTACACGGCTTTCAAGAGGAATGGTTGTGGGTCGGTGGAGACTGGCAGTGCCCCGACTTCGCTAATGATCTTCTTGCCGATGGGACAAGTATCCCAACGGCTATTAAATCTGGTTATTGTAAGTAGTTCACCATTTTCTTCACTTCGGTTATTAATACCTTGTTTTTTTGTTTCCGCTAACAGGTGGACTTTTGTGACCTTGTAGCAAAACCAACGGGAAAGAGAGAACCCAAGTTTGAAGGTTTGTTGTACGATCGAGTGGACAAATTATTCGAAATCTCTCACAATAAGCGACGATACCAACGACTCGTGAAAGATTCTCGATTAGAGATAGCTGGTTTATCTCCCGGGATACTTGATTCTTCGTTTCAACTAGGTAATTTTCTCGCTTATTTTGTTTTATCGTTCGCATTGATGAGGTCGGTCTAACTTTAAATTCTTTGTAACAGTCTATTATCCATTGCTGGGATACTTCGGTTTTGGAGATCCCATAGAGGCAGAAGAACATCGAAGGCGTAATCCGAATTTTGATTTGAAGAACAAGGTCGGAAAAAACAAACACCTTCGATCAACAGAGATGGCTGGACGCATGAACCTCCTGAAGGCATGGAAAAAGAACCCCAACCGTTCTCAAAGTGCTGTTGGTGAACCATCGTCAACAAGGGTGGAACCGACACCGGCGATTGTAAGTGAGCCGTTGGTTACCGACGTCCCGCCACTTGACGTCGCTCCAATTCAACAAGTGATGACGTCGGTAGAGGAACCTACTGTAGTGACCGACATCTCGCGAGAGGTGTCGGAAGAACCGCTTTTAAATGTAGTCCAACGGCGTAAGAGATCTAGTGTGTCTCACGTGGCCGAAAGGATGATGAAGAAGCCAAACACCGGCGCCGGCAAAGATAAGGAGGAGGAAGAACCTGAGATCATTCTGAGGGACTCCTTCCTCAAAGTTAACGAGAAAAAAGCGGCGGGGCTGACGCTGCCGGAG